AGAGGCCCATTAAATAATTTAAAAATCATGCACGGCGTAGTTACAATTAATATGGTTATAAAATCCTGTCTGTCTGGTTTTTTTCGGGCTTTACTAAAGATTGGTGGTATTTGATGTTTTTGATATTTTCGGTAGCTAAATAAAAAAAAAAAATTTAAAAGCAAAAACAATTTGGTTTTAACGTGTAATGGCGACATAAACAATGGCATCCTGCTATTCGATAGACTGCGATAAATTTTATTTTACACATTGTAAGCGGGAAAAAAAAGGAAAACTAGGTTATGGGGTTTAAATTTGTATTGTAATGTAAGGGGGTAGGCTCCAAAAAAATAACAACTTCTTAATAAAAACGTTTTATTGATTTATTTGTGGATATCTAAATTTGGGTAGTTAAAAGAAAATAAATGCAAGCATCAGGGACTCTTTTGCAAATATTTTCCTTAAGTACCCTAACTTATACATACACAAAAAAATTTTAAAAAAGGCTTAGTAATTAAAAAGTTTTTTTCCAGTTTTTTTCTGGAGCTTACCCCCTTAAAAACTTTATCTGCAAAGTTTTGCAAACAAATAATTATCGATCACGGAGTTCCTGTACAGCCAATCAATACTTGTCTTTCGAAAGTGAAACATCGGTTCATAACTTAGGCTTGATGAAAATAAATAGAAATGTAGCCTTAAACTCAACAAATTATTTTTTTCAAGTTCTCTGGATTTGCAGCTTTTATAGCATTGGTTCTAAAAATAGAAAATTTCTAAATTAATTTTAGGCTGAAGTTTTTATTTTTTAGTATTTTTATGGTCGCTTTGTTTGCTAAATCTAAAAAAAAAACACGTTTTTATTACATGTCAACTACATGATAGAAGGATTATCGTCAACTCGCTCGCCTCCATTCGCAAGTTTAGAACTGTCTTTATTTTTTAAAACTGAAAACCCGGAAATTTTAAAACTCAATTTTTGCGAATAAGGAAAGTGAAAAAAAATACGATTTTCAAATCCGGAAATCTGGGATATCCCGGAAAAGCGGCACAGTTATAAAACGTTGTTTACTAGGTTTTGTTGAACTAGTTTCTGTCACATGATGTTTGTTATGAATCACCAAATACGTAAACAAAACAGTCGCAATTCCCAACCATTTTGAAGAATCGATTTATTACTTTTTAAACCAGAATCGATCTATCATTTTTTTAAACCAGATGTGTTCTCTTATCAAATCGTTCATTAGAACTTATAAGGGACATTTGAATAGGAGTTAGCAGCGAAAATAATTTCTGTTATTTTCTACCCACAAATACATCTTGTCTAGTTTATGACCGTTCCCCACACACATACGTCTAGTTAATGACAGTTCCCCACACACATACGTCTAGTTTGTGACAGTTCCCCACACACACACGTTTAGTTTATGACAGTTCCCCACACACATACGTTTAGTTTATGACAGCTCCCCACACACATACGTCTAGTTTCTGAGAGCTTCCCACACGCAATCTGATCGTGAGTTCATTGCGGGTGTTTCGTGGCGCTAATGAATAATTAATCCATGATAATTTAACTCCGGCTTTGACCACTCAGGATAATGAAACAAGGTGGAGCCTCACGAGTTATCTGATCCTAGACATGCGCAGACAACTCGCCCACAGCCTACACTGCTCCAGCCTGGCTGCATAACCTTGACCTTTTGAAAAAGATATTTCATGCTGGTTATAATCGTGAAAGAAAATATTTTCTGCATAAATTATAAATAAAATTTTCTATTTCATACGAGGGCTCGCTATCCCTAAAATAGTGCAGCAGTATCTGTTGGTATTTTCCTCTTGATAATTCTGTTTTGTCTGGCTTGTGTGCCATGACTATCTTATAACTGATGAACTACCATCACACGTGATTGAAATCTAGCTTAGCTATATAATCAATATAACAGTTGTATAACCGTTATACAACCGTTATATAACCGTGTATCACATTGTACCAGCTGACCCCCGAGGTTGGACATTTGACTGTTGTTGACTTTGAGGTCATCAGACTCTTCCAGACTTTTTTCTCCGGGGGGGGGGGGGGGGGGGCACTTGATATTTTCGAGGGGGGGGCACTTGATATTTTCGAGGGGGGGGGGGCACTTGATATTTTCGAGGGGGGCGCACTTGATATTTTCGGGGGGGGGGGGTGCTGCACTTGATATTTTCCGGGGGGGCGGACACTAGTAAAAGTATATTTTTTACTATATAAATTCCATCTAGTTCGGGGGGGGGGGGGGGGGACGGTAGAGATGCCTGGAAGAAACTCTGATCTAGACTAACGTGACGAATGTGTTGCTATATTTAGCTGTGTTGTGCATATTTCTCTGCTGGGTGGGGGAATATAACGAACGTGAATTCAATAAGACACGTAGGTAGCTTTGTGGGTTTATCGTGTAAAAAGTGAGACATTGCTTCATGTTCCACTCATTGAGAAAATGGTCATTCGATTTGATGATTTCGGTAATTTTCGGGATTAAACCATCTAGGAATGGCATTTTTGTTGTTCCTGAAAATTTAAATTTATCCCAAATATACCCTTTGTCATGGCGATATATAAACACACAGGGTAGGATATTACCCTTTGTCAGTTATGACGACCTAGATCCTAATAAACTCTAAATGTTAGGCAATGTTCGGATTTTGACAGGGTAAGGATAGGGACAGGGTAAGGATAGGGACGGGGTAGGCATAATGAGTAGTAGCGATAGAGAATGGTAAGGATAGCTTTAATGCTTCAGTATAGAATTTTGTGGAGCACATAAACATTCTAGAATCCCTAGCGGTTATACCAAGTTATATTTATTTATCGTCACAATTGAGTCGGTTTTCTCACTTTACATAACTTTACATAATTCTTTTTTCAAGGGGGTGGGGCACCACTAGTAAAAGTATATGTTTTCTATATGATTCCATTTCTTTCGGGGGGGGGGGGGTAGACTTTTTGGGGGGCGGGGGGGGGGACTTTGTCCGAAGGGAAGCCTGGAAGAAACTCTGTTAAATAACATGTGGGGGGGGGGGGGGGGGGGGGGGCTATTGAAAAGCATGTGCATATTATGTTTTAGATCCATACATACAAATTTATGTGAATTTATCTTAGGGTTTTTTGAGAATTCGGAAATACACTTCTACTTCCGTTACCCGGAAATATATATCAAATATATTTATAAAATTTAACATGAAATAACCATACGTTAGAAACTATTTTTAGTTTTAAAACTTTTACTTGTGTGATAGTTCTGGAGGCAAAGTCTCGATCTCACGTGTTGTTTTATCAGCCAATCAGACAACGTGTCTCATTGAATCTGTTATTCTATCAGCGAATCACCCAACGTGTTTCATTGATCTAACCTTTGATTTACACCGCTTCAAACTCGTTGATTGAAAAGCTTTTATCCTCATTTATTGAACTAATACAAATATGTGTGGGAAGCGTTGTTGGTGACCTTAAAAGCACTTGCTCCGTCAGATACATGTGGATACACCCCATAGCTTATGCTTTAGGCATTACTGTTATGGATGAGGGGGGGGGGCTGCCCAGGGGACTGACTTTAGTCTGCTTTTTTAGCGTAAAAAACACTAAAGCTGACATATTGAGGCTGTATTTCTCGATGTGAGCACAAAGCAGCAGCTGTCAGCAATGATTCTTGACAAGAATGTCCATGTCTATGTTACAGCTAGTCTAGATGCTGGTCAGTCTGTCCATGTCCATGTCCATGTATATGTCTATGTCTATGTTACAGCTAGTCTAGATGCTGGTCAGTCTGTCCATGTCCATGTCCATGTATATGTCTATGTCTATGTTACAGCTAGTCTGGATGCTGGTCAGTCTGTCCATGTCCATGTCTATGTCCATGTCCATGTCCATGTATATGTCTATGTCTATGTTACAGCTAGTCTAGATGCTGGTCAGTCTGTCCATGTCCATGTCTATGTCTATGTCTATGTTACAGCTAGTCTAGATGCTGGTCAGTCTGTCCATGTCCATGTCTATGTCTATGTCTATGTTACAGCTAGTCTAGATGCTGGTCAGTCTGTCCATGTCCATGTCTATGTCTATGTCCATGTCCATGTCTATGTCTATGTCTATGTCTATGTTACAGCTAGTCTAGATGCTGGTCAGTCTGTCCATGTCCATGTCTATGTTTATGTCTATGTTACAGCTAGTCGAGATGCTGGTCAGTCTGTCCATGTCCATGTCCATGTCTATGTCTATGTTACAGCTAGTCTGGATGCTGGTCAGTCTGTCCATGTCCATGTCTATGTCCATGTCCATGTCCATGTATATGTCTATGTCTATGTTACAGCTAGTCTAGATGCTGGTCAGTCTGTCCATGTCCATGTCTATGTCTATGTCTATGTCTATGTTACAGCTAGTCTAGATGCTGGTCAGTCTGTCCATGTCCATGTCTATGTCTATGTCTATGTTACAGCTAGTCTAGATGCTGGTCAGTCTGTCCATGTCCATGTCTATGTCTATGTCTATGTTACAGCTAGTCTAGATGCTGGTCAGTCTGTCCATGTCCATGTCTATGTCTATGTCCATGTCCATGTCTATGTCTATGTCTATGTCTATGTTACAGCTAGTCTAGATGCTGGTCAGTCTGTCCATGTCCATGTCTATGTCTATGTCCATGTCCATGTCTATGTCTATGTCTATGTCTATGTTACAGCTAGTCGAGATGCTGGTCAGTCTGTCCATGTCCATGTCCATGTCTATGTCTATGTTACAGCTAGTCTAGATGCTGGTCAGTCTGTCCATGTCCATGTCTATGTCTATGTCCATGTCCATGTCTATGTCTATGTATATGTCTATGTTACAGCTAGTCGAGATGCTGGTCAGTCTGTCCATGTCCATGTCTATGTCTATGTCTATGTCTATGTCCATGTCTATGTCTATGTTACAGCTAGTCGAGATGCTGGTCAGTCTGTCCATGTCTATGTCCATGTCTATGTCCATGTCTATGTCTATGTCTATGTTTCAGCTAGTCGAGATGCTGGTCAGCCTGTCCAACGCTGACAACACCAACGAGGCCGTACTACAGGCCATAGACGCAGGTTTTACGTCCATTGCTGAGATCACATTACGTCATCCTAAATACCTGGAGAACACCAACCGTATGAGGCGGATGGGGGACGTGGAGGGGTTTTTCAAGGTAAGAGGTCGTGGGTGTTGTGGTGGGTGTGGTAGGCGTGGAAGGGGGGGGTGGGCTTTTTCAAGGTAAGAGGTCGTGGGTGTTGTGGTGGGTGTGGTGGGCGCGGGAGGTAGGATTTCTTGGGTGTATTGTGGATGTTGTTAAATCCGGGCTATGTAATATTGTGTATTTGTATGTGTAGGCCTAGTGTATCAATGTGCTGTGTGTGGGGGTGGGTAATCAGTTTCATTGTTGCTGTTGTTTTAAATGAAATATATATGCGGCTTTTGTTTTTAAAAAACTTGCGATAATTCTGACATTACCTGTTGGTGGTGTTACCTGTACGCATGACGTCACACCTGTGGTGACGTTTTGTTAACTTACAGCCCGAGCGTGGCTCCCAGTTCCCGAGTTACGTCACCCCCCTGATGTTGGCGTCACAGAAAAACCAATACGTCATCGTCCAGCTCCTGCTACAGAGGGGCGAGTACATCATCAAACCTCACAAGTTCGGCTGTCCGTGCCAGGTAAGTCTCGTCTAATTAGCATCATTACGATATTTTTAGAATTAACAAGGTCGATGACAAGACCAATAGCAAAACAGAGTTACGGGACCTGCCCTAGGGTTGTAAAGTGACATGGCAAACACAGATCCTGAACTGGCCGATTGTTAAATAAGTAATAAAATGTGAACATTCTCCAACATGCTACCTGTTGTCAACTGTTGAAATAAAATGTGAACATCCTCGCGAGATGCCAGCTGTTGTCAACTATTTAAATAAAATGTGAACATCCTCGCGAGATGCTAGCTGTTGTCAACTGTTGAAATAAAATGTGAACATCCTCCCACATGCTAGCTGTTGTCAACTGTTGAAATAAAATGTAAACATTCTCCCACATGCCAGCTGTTGTCAACTGTTGAACTAAAATGTGAACATCCTCCCACGTGCCAGCTGTTGTCAACTGTTGAAATAAAATGTAAACATTCTCCCACATGCCAGCTGTTGTCAACTGTTGAAATAAAATGTGAACATCCTCCCACGAGCCAGCTGTTGTCAACTGTTGAAATAAAATGTGAACATCCTCCCACATGCTAGCTGTTGTCAACTGTTGAAATAAAATGTGAACATCCTCCCACGAGCCAGCTGTATCAACTGTTGAAATAAAATGTGAACATCCTCCCGACGAGCCAGCTGTTGTCAACTGTTGAAATAAAATGTGAACATTCTCCCACATGCTAGCTGTTGTCAACTGTTGAACTAAAATGTGAACATCCTCCCACATGCTAGCTGTTGTCAACTGTTGAAATAAAATGTAAACATTCTCCCACATGCTAGCTGTTGTCAACTGTTGAACTAAAATGTGAACATCCTCCCACATGCTAGCTGTTGTCAACTGTTGAAATAAAATGTGAATATCCTCCCACGAGCCAGCTGTTGTCAACTGTTGAAATAAAATGTGAACATCCTCCCACGTGCTAGCTGTTGTCAACTGTTGAACTAAAATGTGAACATCCTCCCACATGCTAGCTGTTGTCAACTGTTGAACTAAAATGTGAACATCCTCCCACATGCTAGCTGTTGTCAACTGTTGAAATAAAATGTGAACATCCTCCCGACGAGCCAGCTGTTGTCAACTGTTTAAATAAAATGTGAACATTCTCCCACATGCTAGCTGTTGTCAACTGTTGAACTAAAATGTGAACATCCTCCCACATGCTAGCTGTTGTCAACTGTTGAAATAAAATGTGAACATCCTCCCACATGCTAGCTGTTGTCAACTGTTGAAATAAAATGTGAACATCCTCCCGACGAGCCAGCTGTTGTCAACTGTTTTTCCTCTGACTGTCTCCAGGAGTGTACCAACAAGAGGAAATACGACCAACTGAGGCTGGCCAAAAGTCGACTGGACGCCTTCAAGGGTTTGTGTAGCGAGGCCTACATCTCCCTCAACAGCCAGGACCCGTTTCTCACGGCGTTTGAGCTGGCACATGAGCTGAGAAGGTTGGCCAAATCTGAGGTCTTCTTTAAGGTAATTAATTTGGTCTAATCTAAGGTCTTCTTTAAGGTAATTAATTTGGTCTAATCTAAGGTCTTCTTTAAGGTAATTAATTTGGTCAAATCTAAGGTCTTCTTTAAGGTAATTAATTAAGTCTAATCAAAGGTCTTCTTTAAGGTAATTAATTTGGTCAAATCTAAGGTGTTCTTTAGGGTAATTAATTTTGCGGAATCTGATTAGGTATGTTGATTCATTTAAAAAAAATCAAATGCGAAATAACTAATAGAATTCAGTTTGAATATTATTTTAGTGTAGTGTTACATTTTCTGACCCCAGACCCCACTAGGAGTGTGACGTCATTAAATGGACGATTATGCCAAATCTGAGGTGTTCTAAATGTGTAGAATAAAGTACAATTATTATGTATGGCTTATCTACATGTCTTAATTTTTTTTCTTAATTTAGATTTTTAAAATTAGTAATTTTAGTAGCATACTCTGGGCTTTTTTTTTTATAGTTTTAAAAATACTTACAAATGTAGGGCCCATTTATATCGCCTACTTTTAAGTTTCGGTAAATAGGGCTATATTCTATACAATTTTATTTTTTTGGGTAGAAAGGTGTCTAGCTGTCTCTAGCTGTCTCTACCTGACTAGCTGTCTCTAGCTGACTCTAGCTGTCTCAATCTGACTAGCTGTCTCTAGCCGTATCTAGCTGACTCTAGCTGTCTCTAGCTGTCTCTAGTTGTCTCTAGCTGACATTATGTCATTATCTAGCAGAGCAGTCTATCGTTACCTGTCTCTAGCTGAGCAGTCTATCGTTACCTGTCTCTAGCTGAGCAGTCTATCGTTACCTGTCTCTAGCTGAGCAGTCTATCGTTACCTGTCTCTAGCTGAGCAGTCTATCGTTACCTGTCTCTAGCTGAGCAGTCTATCGTTACCTGACTCTAGCTGAGCAGTCTATCGTTACCTGACTCTAGCTGAGCAGTCTATCGTTACAGAGGGAGTACACGGACCTGGCTGACCACCTGAGCACGTATGTGGTCAAGCTCCTGGACAGGGTGTGGACACACAGGGAGCTGAGTGTGGTCCTGGACAAGTGTGGCCCGCCCACTGATGACGTCTACGAGAGTCTGGCCAGGTTTAAGATGGCCGTTGATTTGGAGGAGAAAGCTGTAATTAGCAATCTTTCATCTACGTTTTTTCTTAAATGAAGCACACATTGCCGGATGTAGGAATTTATGTAGGATAGGCTAAATGGGTTGTCCACAAACTATTTTAAATAAGCAATAATCCTGTAGGTCCTATACTTAAATATACAGTTCCATGTTTGTCCTGATGAAAACTCTGTAGACTTTAGAACAATAGCATATATAATTCTGGGCTTATGGGTTAATGTTAGGTTTTGGGTTTTGGTTTGATTTGGGTTAAGGGTATGGTTGAAGTATAGCATGAAGTGTAGACTTGAAATCTTTCGATTAGTAAATGCTATCATTTCCTGATACTTGCATTTACAAATTTCAAACATTACAAATATGAAAAAAAGGGTTCGTTCAACTCTTTAGTTACTCATCAACCATGATACAGTGTATCTATTACATCATTAATTGATATCTATATTTTAGATTGTTTTGTTGGCTTCACATAATAAACAAATAGACAATACAAGAATACTAAAATTAAACTAAAAATGTTTTGTTACAGTTTGTAACCCACCCAAACTGCCAGCAGAGAATAGACAGGTGCTGGTTTGAAGGAATGGGGAAAATAAAGCGCTTAAGCTGGCCACAACAAATTGGTATCTTGATCCTGTCTATCGTTGCCTACCCAGTTTTTGTTGCCTACTTCCTCATTGCCCCAGAGTCTAAGGTAAGTGGCCTCAGTAAAGTCATGACAATGTCATACATTAAGACAATTTAATAAATTGAGACAAAATGATGAATCATGATAATTTGATAAATCATGACAATTTGATGGTACTATATTATTTTTAGACCCTGAAATTCACTTTGATAAAGCCAGAAGTATAATTATTCTAAATGATGAATTATTATTATAATTAAAATTATTCTATACTACTGGATATTTTTATTCCACATTTTATGACTATCAAATATCAGATCTAATCATTGATAAGAAAATCATAAGATAATCATAAGATAATCATAAGATAATCATAAGATAATCATAAGATAATCATAAGATAACCATAAGATAATCATAAGATAATCATAAGATAATCATAAGATAATCATAAGATAATCATAAGATAATCATAAGATAATCATAAGATAATCATAAGATAATCATAAGATAATCATAAGATAATCATAAATCTGTTCCCCAGACCAGTAAAATCCTCAAGGTTCCAGCCGTCAAGTTTATCTGCCACACACTCTCTTTCTTCGCTTTCCTCATCCTGATCATCATTTCCTGTTTTGAGTCCATATCCATCATCTCTGATTCAAATACTCTGCAACAAAAATATCCAGATATACACGAAAAATACAAAAGATATCGCCAAAAGTACAATCAGCAATTGTACTATGATGACTTTCCTCTACGCACATTGACCCCACAAGTAACAGAGATTTTGATACTCATATGGGTCATAGGTTGGTAAAAAATGTTTTGTTCTTTTACTTTTGGCTTAAAATATATTTTATAATATTTGTTGTGCTAATTTTTTTATGTGGTGAATTATAAAATAATTAACTTGTCATTTACTGTTTGTTGTAATTTTAAGTTGTCCTTGAATGACGTCACTTCTAGTGGGAAAGGGGTGGAATGGGAAGTTGGTGTGTGAAGAGGTGAAGTGTGTGGGTTTAGAATGTGTGGTGTCATACTTGTATTTTAAAAGGTAATTTTTAAACTCACTTTTACTGGTTGAAGATCCCATTACACATTGAGCTGTAGATATTCAGATGATCTTTATCAAAGAAAGCTACTCCATTTATCCAATCAACCTATAGATTTCTCTTTTAACTTCTATTTAAATGAAAAAAAAAACAATCTATATATCACAAACAAAATAAACATAAGCTACATGCACATACATGTAGGCCTACTCTTACATGTACACACACATATATATATATAGACACATACACATTTACATACACACATATTCATATACAGAAACATAGATACAACATACTTACAGATACACATATAAATATATTTTTTTTTTTAAATTTAAGCTTGACCTGCTCATTGCAGAGAACAATGGAACTTTATTGATTTTAATTAGTCCAACTAATGAGATATTGTCTTTTTCCCCTAAGAAGTTAAATATGTGGTAAAAAAAAGGGGCGGGGTGTATGGAGAATTCCTATTTCCAAGTTGAATATCTTATGAAACCGTGAAGTTAAATGTAGAATTAGATAAATGTTTGCTTAAAAAATTAAACAAATAACTGTGATAAACCTGTCTTCCATACTAAATCCCCAGCAATGGTTGTTCAAGAATTAAACAAATGAATGTGATAAACTTGTCTTCTATACTAAATCCCCAGCAATGGTTGTTGAAGAATTAAACAAATGAATGTGATAAACTTGTCTTCTATACTAAATCCCCAGCAATGGTTGTTGAATAATTAAACAAATGCAAAATGTGATAAACCTGTCCTTCATACTAAATCCCTAGCAATGGTTGTTCAAGAATTAAACAAATGAATGTGATAAACTTGTCTTCTATACTAAATCCCCAGCAATGGTTGTTGAAGAATTAAACAAATGAATGTGATGAACTTGTCCTCTATACTAAATCCCCAGCGATGGTTGTTGAATAATTAAACAAATGCAAAATGTGATAAACCTGTCCTTCATACTAAATCCCTAGCAATGGTTGTTCAAGAATTAAACCAATGAATGTGATAAACCTGTCTTCCATACTAAATCTCCAGCAATGGTTGTTGAATAATTAAATAAATGTAGAATGTGATAAACCTGTCCTCCATACTAAATCCCCAGCAATAGTTGTTCAAGAATTAAACCAATGAATGTGATAAACCTGTCTTCCATACTAAATCCACAGCAATGGTTGTTCAAGAGTGTCAGGAGCTGTGGTCACAAGGCATAAGGTCACACTTCAGTGACAAGTTCAATTTGTTGGATTTTGTACTGCTGTCTGTCTACATTGCTACATATTCTCTGAGATTTTTGTGTATCAAAAAGGTATGAACACATACTACATAGATTTTTACAATATTATATCCAAAAGATATCACTTTTTAACATGTTTTTTACCCTTTCATTTTAATTTAAAACCTCACTTGTTTAAAAGATTATTTTAAAACACTCTATTTTTATATCTAGGTTTTATATAATTATTATAATAAGGCTTCTTTTCATTAGACTCAATGTCTTTTTTAAAAATTGAGTTTTCAATATGCATGTTATTCTTTTTTATTCAAAAGTATTCTTCATATATATTTCAATTTGATACATCTTTAAAATACTAACTTTAGTTTATACATATAAGTATTTGTGTATTTAAAATAACTCATAATTTCAGTTGAATTCTAGTGTATATGAGCTACAGAATGTTCCAGAATTCAACTTATCATTTGGTGTGGAGGCTCACATCTACTGGATAAATGCAGGTAGGGTGGGATTCAAACTCCGACACTCATGTTTTATTTCTTGACTCCAGTCCAGCTTCTAACAGTGGCTATGTTTGTCATCCCTAGATCGTTCCTTCTGGGACAGCTATGATCCCATCAATACTGCTGAAGGATTGTTTGCTATTGCCAACATTTTCAGTTTCTCGAGGATAGCTTACCTCTTGAGAGCTAATGAAACTCTGGGGCCTTTACAAATTTCTCTCGGTCGCATGATCAATGTGAGTACATGTTTAGTATCTTTGCTCAAGTCTGGTTAGTTGACAGTCAAAATATTTGAGTATATATATATATATATATATATATATATATATATATATATATATATATATATATATATATATATATATATATATATATATATATATATATATATATATATATATATATATATATATATATATATATATATATATATATATATATATATATATATATATATATATATATATATATATATATATTTCTGACCACAACATCCAATGTCAAGAATCATGAACTTTACTTCATCTGCCCTATAGATAGTATATTATTAAAATTAATAGCGTGTATTTTATTTTTTTATTTTTTTATTTACAGGATATAATGCAGTTCTTTGCCTTGGCAGTCATTGTCATCATTGCCTTCCTGGTTGCACTAAGGAACTTGTACTGGTATTATTCCAATAGGGATGATATTGAAATTAATGGTTTGGGGATACCTAAGCCAGAAGCTGTTGAAAAATATGGCGAGTAAGTTTTTAGTAAATCTATAGAAAATAGATAGATTTATGACATCGATGTCTATTTTTATAAAATAAAACATTTTGCATGATAAACTTTTGTATAATTTATATTTTAAAAAGTTAAAAAACTTATGAAATATTGCCTTTATTGCAATGTATTTGTATAGCATCAGGTTTCTAAAATATTATTAGTGAATTAATCTAGCATTAAAGTTGTGGTAAGTTAAAAAAAAAAGTTATGTAAATAAAATAGGATAAAAACTCTTGACAAACTCAAAGCAAAATAAAAAATCGATTATTGCCCTTTGACCACAAACCAAATACATAATAATATTAATAATATTATTATGTAGTTGGTTTGTGGTCAAAGGGCAATAATCGATTTTTTATTTTGCCATGAGTTTGTCAAGAGTTTTTTTTAATATCTAGCTTTTCTTAAATCAATATTTGTGCAGTGATGAATATTCAATCAAATATTTCATTAAAATATGAAAATTATTAATTAAATAAACCCTGAGAGATTTCCCCCTAAACTTTCTTGAATATTCTTATATAAAACTATGGGGTGATGGCACCTTGAGATACAGACATGATTTTTAATCCATTTTCAATTACTTAAACTTTTAAAAATAGAATAAAATCTCGTAGAAAAAAGAATTTGCACACAAAGTAAACGGCAAAAAACCTGTGTATAATAGTGCAGAATATTATTGGTACTTTATAAATTCACATGAGTTTTTTGTTAAATTGGAAATAGAGTAAATTACTACTTCCAGTCAACAGAAATTACTCAAATTTTGAAAGAAGGCAGAGAATTAGATCTTTTACTTACTTGTGAAATTTCATTTATCTATCTAAAACAGCACTCAAGTTATAGGTGTTTGAAAAATTGAAAGTAGAATAAGTGCCATTTCCGGTTACCGGAAATTGCTGAAAAGTTGATACAGATCTACGAATATGATATAATACTTATATATGAAATTTTATCAACTTAGCTGTAACGGTAGTCAAGTTATCAAGTTCCCAGACACACACATACATACACACACATATACACACAGACATACAGACAAGATTGCAAAATTATGTTTTTTCGACTCAGGGAGGTGTTAAGCGTCGAGATTTAGACCACAAAATGACAAGAGTTTTATTTTAAGTTACAGCTTGAGGTGCTGCAGTGTTGCTTTCATTGTTTTTAGTTTCCAAATATAGATTATCTTAACCACAATTTTATGCTATCAAAACACTGGGGGAAAAACTTGAAAACCCTCCCCTGTAACCAAATTCTGCCACTGACTCTGCCACTGACTCTGCCACTGACTCTGCCACTGACTCTGCCACTGACTGACATCTTTCTCCTGTCTAGTGAGCTGGCAGCTTTCCGTACAGTTTTCTGGGCTATTTACGGTCGAGGTCAGGACACAGATGTTTCACTGGGGAACTACAACAACACAGTGACAGAGAAAATAGGCGAGTCCATCTCCGGGTTGTACCATATCATCATGATCATCCTTCTGCTCAACATTCTGGTTGCCATGATGACAAGAACCTTTGATAAAACTGCAGTAAGTCTTCCTTTTATTGAGAACCTTTAAAAAAAACTGCAGTGTCTTCCTTTTTATTGAGAACCTTTGATAAAACTGCAGTAAGCCTTCCTTTTTATTGAGAACCTTTGATAAAACTGCAGTAAGTCTTCCTTTTTATTGAGAACCTTTGCTAAAACTGCAGTAAAGTACTAAGAATGAATTGTTTTTCTGTTATTTTAGGAAGATGCAGATATAGAATTGAAATTTTGTTATTTTAGGAAGATGCAGATATAGAATTGAAATTTTGTTATTTTAGGAAGATGCAGACATAGAATGGAAATTTGCTCGCAGCACTCTGTACATGGAATATATCACCAAAGGAAGGGTACTCCCAGTTCCTTTCAACATTCTAGAGGTCCTTTACAAAATGATAATGCACTTCATTCAGTTGGCGAATGAAAAAAAAGAAGAGGTAAATCATGAACATACTGTATTATACGACGCAGGCAGAAGAACAGCAATATCTAACGTAGAGTCACAACGTCGCTTTAAGGTAAAAGATCATGTTTAATTCCTTTAGTGATTACAGTTTTAGTTTAGTTTTTCAATACTTCTTCACTCCGGCAGTGTTAGTTTTAAGTGATGTTTGGTTTACAAAATATAAAACATGTTTGAGTGAAGACCATCAACCTGTTCATACAAGCAACCATTAAAAAAATCACCTTTCTCTCTAAAAATACTTCTAAACTTTTTCTTTAGAAGCTTTACTGAAAGGCAATAGATCTCATTTGCCAAGATGTCTGAGAAGAATTTAAATCAATGAAAATAAAATGCTTACATTTTTTCATTAGTGTGATCATTTCAATTTGTAGACTGCTGTTAAAGAAAATGACAAAAAACACTGCCTTAACTTAACACTTAAATCACCAGAAAACAAAATTTAAGGCTAGTGATGCGGACCCAACGCCGACAGGTGTACCTCATATGGCATCCCATGCTGCTTTCAACATAAGGCAGAAAACTGACAAAGGACAAACACTATATCAGGCAATTAAACGTTTTTCCATATATTTATTTAATCTAACTTTTAAATTGTTTATCTCATTTTTTAAAGCTAGGTATCCCAAATTATCTCTATTTAGACAACTTATACCAATTTTAATAAAGGCTTAAACATCTGTTCTTGCAAAATTTACATTAATGATTTTTTTAAATAATGTATTTAATGTTATAGTGTGTATCAGTTTTTTTTTTTATTTTATAAAAAAATAAACTTATATTATTAAACCATACTAAACTTTGTTGTTGGTGCAGGAAATGGTACAGAGAATCATTCAAAGATTTATCTATGACAATCACAGACAAATTGAAAATACAGGTAAGACAGATCTATATTTACATATTTTTGTGATGGGGGACAAGAATTTTTTCTTCAAATATCCATGTGGCATGCTGTCAAATTTTATTTTTATTTTCTCTAAGTGGGTTCTGATGATGTAAAGAGCTGCTTTGACCGCATGAGGCAAGAGGTTCTAGCACAGTACAAAGTAAAGGATGACAGCCTCGACATGGCTATCTCTGCTGTCAGATGGGTGTCCAAGAACATGGAGAAGATCCAGGGGAAGGAATCTTTAAATAGAGATGAGTTATTTCCCTGGAAAAAAAGTGACAGCATCGACAGTCAGGATTCAGCACTGACACCTGACCATCCAGATTCCGAGTTTGTCAGCAACGTGGATCACCATGACAACGCCCTCTGTGACATCCACGAGGAGCCCATCCAGGTTCATAATAAAACAAAGCATTCAAAGTCCAATGGTTAGGACAAACCAAATGTTTACATCAGATAGATCTTCCATTTTACTGTTATTTAATAATTCTACAGGAGCCAAATTGCATTAAAGACAAGTACAGCTTTTTGAATTTAATTTTTATTTTCATTGTGGAAATTGAACTTAAATTTTTAAGTAAAGAAACAGTTCATTACAAGGTAAAATATAAAGATGGCAATAAAACATATTAATAACTGTTAAACGGAGTGCAATAAGAGAAAATATTTTATTTTGCTTTTGTCTTACTAACAAGTAGGGCTGTTTTTCAAAATTGACAAGAAATGATTATACGAAAGAATTATTTTTCTGTTATATTATGTACCATCTTGATAAATTAATAAAAGTTGCCAGATGAATAAATAATTACTTGCGCAAGTGTTTTAGATATGATCTTGTTTACATACACAACAAAATTTTATTGACTTTTATGCAATCTAAAGTGCACCGTTTTTTTTTTTTTTTGTGCTGTCTATTCTGACACTCCAAATAATATTGTGATATTTTTATAAGTTTTTCAATGTTCACTTTTTAAAGTCTGTGAACTTTTTAAATTCATATTTCTTGTGAGTAAGCAATGACAACATTAACTGTTATACACAATGCAATCAATCCACTACAAAAAAACTAATATTGATATAAATAGTGGCATAGGCAGGGAGGGAGGGGTGTTAGAAACCCCCCCCCCCCTCCAGCTAAGGAATGTCAAAATAAAATGTCTAGCCTCAAGTTTCGACACAGCTATTACTCATATTGGTTCATGTCACAAAACTACAATTATATATATATATATATATATATATATATATATATATATATATATATATATATATATATATATAGATAGATCACACGTTGGCCTACTTGAATACAGGGCCATTTACTTTGTGTTTGTGACCTACCTGTATACCTTATGTGAGCTGAGCTACCTAAAGCATATTTAATATTTTCTCAATAGTAAATAGTGTTCAATAAGAATCTGAGAAATTGTTGAAATAGTCTTTAGTTTTGTCCAGATTTTGGTGACTGCCTTATAGAGTCCTGCACAATGTAGTTTTAATAAATCTTTATTATTATAAAATGGAAAGGCATTAATCTTTCTTTTAAATTACCCCACCACAATTGTGTAAAAATATCTAAAAATGTAGAAAACCTTAGAAGCCTGATTCTGTTTGAACTTTGAAGATGTTCAAAATGTTTTGCTTTGGTTCTGACACAAACTGTAAAATAAAATTACCAGCTACCACAAACTGTAAAATAACATTACGTCTTTTTGTTTCATTAGCTCTACCATTTCATTATTTTCAAAAAATAGTTCAACAGGAACATGCTTTTTAACAGTTACAGACTCAACAGTAACAATGCACTTAATGCAAGACATACACCTTTGCTGCTTGCTTTGGAATTGGATTATTGAAGACAAATCTCACCATTGTACCAAAATGAGAAATAAAAAACTTAAAACTGGTGGATTATATTACATCTCAGTGTTAAGAACTCAAAAAAGCAATGTAAATTCTTTTGTGATAGAAATGATGTATAACCTTTTAGTACACCATGTATTTACTGGAAATATGGCTAATTAAATGTACACCAAACCTTGAATAAATAGCAGGTTGTGATTAATGTTTCATCAATCTTGCAATAAAAAATAGAAAGCAATATAACTTTTTAAATTTAAAGAGATGACATGAAACCCTTGACTCGTTTTTCCGGAACTGACAGAAATTCTTCTGTTTTAATCATTTTTAGAGCAGATGCTTCAAACAATTCAAGATGAGCCACAAACATGTTAGCTGCTTTAAGAGATTTGTTTAAATATAACTGTACTCTAGTTGATGTGGTAAACCTTGAGGCAGGTAGGATGTCAGGTTGCTAGGGTTGTCTAGCAGCCTCAACAACCCTGTCATTACCAACTGCCTAATTGAAACAAAATTTACCACAGCTAAAAAAAATTTTTAGAATGTTCTTATTTTTTGTTATGACTGTTGTTTTTGCATGTTCTAAATTATAAAAGTATCCAGTTTTTATGCACAATAAATCAGTTTTTTTCATCAAATAGGAGTTTTTAGTTTGAATTGTAAAAATAGATGTCAACATTGAGTCTTAATAAATGAATACTTGCAGTAACATTATCCCATTATACAAAACTAGATCATAAATATATACAAGTTTTGTACTAATAAATCACAACAAAGAAATTCTTCAATAAACAATTTATTTGTCACTTTAAAACAAAAGTTAAATATATCAATCAAGTATCTACAAATAGATGTGAATCACCACAAAATATGTCTCATTCTTGTACCCAAAACAAGTTTGAAAAATTTCTTGTTTCCTCAAAAATGGACAGTACCCTATACAAATATATTGATGTTTCAAGGTAAAGGGCAATACCTGATGTAAATTTTCAATAATCTATTACAAAATAATAGGTACTGTAAGTTCTAACCAAACTGTTACATAAAACTTTGTTTCAAGAAATGTGTTATAATGTGGCAATAAGTACTACAGATCATGTATAACATCAGGTGCTAGTTATAGAGCCAGGCACTGGCAGATTCTCCTTGTAGGGTGTTTTTTTAACACAACACAATTTTAATGCTGAGGTATAAAAGGTTACTGACTGAAGGAACAAACTATCTCAGTTTTAATGTGAAACTTGTTCTATATTAAAGTCACAAAAATTTGACTGAAGGAACTAACTAAACTATCGCAGTTATTAAACTTGTTCTATACTAAAGGTTTGTCCTATCTCTGATGCTAATGTTGAACTTTCCCCCAAAAATTCAACATAAAACACAGGATACAGATACCATTTTGAGCTAGGCTCAAATCTACACAGGAAAGATTTTATTTTTAAGAAAGATAGTCACATTTCTGATATAAATAGACCTACAGCAGCAAGGAATATATGGAATCAGAACCTGAATCAGCAGACAGCAAGGCATACAAAAACCACAGCATGCATTTAATTGGTGACTTGATTTGTAAGTATTTACAGTAATACATTAGCAAAGCCCATATCTGTACAACAGTAGGAAGTGGTAAATAAGTTAGATCAGCTGGTCTATTAGGCTGGGGCACTAACCAGGTGCTGATTAAATAGAGGCCCAGACAAGGATGAATGAAACCTGACCACAGGCTAGAAAACTTTACATTATTTACAGTGTGTCAACACACTATATACACGGGTGTGTGGGCTCAACAAGGCACACAGTAATACAAGATGTCACGTGTGTGCTGTGTGATGAAATCCCTTTATTATGGCAGGTAGGACCAAGTGTGTTGTGATGGTGGCTACAGTCTTTACATACAGTAGGCTGGCTATATCAGTGTGTTTGTTTTCAGTTTGTGTACAGTAGGCTGGCTATATCAGTTTGTTTTAACTTTGTGTACCTTAGGCTGGCTATATCAGTTTGTTTTAAGTTTGTGTACAGTAGGCTGGCTATATCAGTGTGTTTTAACTTTGTGTACCTTAGGCTGGCTATATCAGTTTGTTTTAAGTTTGTGTACAGTAGGCTGGCTATATCAGTGTGTTTTAACTTTGTGTACCTTAGGCTGGCTATATCAGTTTGTTTTAAGTTTGTGTACAGTAGGCTGGCTATATCAGTGTGTTTGTTTTAAGTTTGTGTACAGTAGGCTGGCTATATCAGTGTGTTTGTTTTAACTTTGTATACCTTAGGCTGGCTATATCAGTTTGTTTTAAGTTTGTGTAGAGGCTATAGTCTGAGCTACATACAGTATAGTAGGCTGGCTATATCAGTGTATGAAGTTTGTGTAGAGGCTATTTCTGAGCTACATATGGTATAGCAGGCTGGCTATATCAGTGAGTTTAATGTATAGGCTAAAGGTAGGCTAAATCATTGTGTTTGTTTAGCTAATGTATATTATCTGTCAGACCACAGTAGGCCAAATCATCTTGAGAATGTGCAACAGAGTGTGGAGAGACTAGATGGTGTGTGGGTGACAGAAACACCAACAGCAGTGGAGGTGGTGACAGAAACACCAACAGCAGTGGAGGCTGGTGACAGAAACACCAGCACCAGTGGAGGCTGATTCTCCCTGCACGATGTGGCTAGTTGTGTTATACAGGAGAGTGGACCCATAGGAGGAAATGTTACATTAACATGGCAAGTCATTGGACCCTTTGGTAATGTTTTATAATGCTTATATAAAAACATGAGACTATTTACAACAATAGAGAAATACTCTATTCTATACTACAGAGTTTCAACATCATTCACAAAGCAGTGTAAGTAATAAGATGATCTAAAAAAAATTAGATGTATAGCGTCAAAAAATAGAACATTTCTAAAACATGTTCAAGTGTAGGTGAATCCTGCAGCTAAACCAAAGTCTGATGGTTAGTTTCATGATGTTGCTGTCTAACGTGTGTCTCTGGCAGTCTTTAGCAGGCAGACATTCATCATACCTGAAACAGAAGAAATACTTATGTAATACATTGTTAATCTTTAGTAGTGTAGATTATGCAATATGAAAATAAAGGTTTTAAAGCAATTTTTTGTCAAGTCAACTGTTGATTTACTAGTACAAGTTCATGACACTAAGACAATATTTTCTAGCCAGTCAATGTACTCACATCTGTGTAGACCTGGTCGGAATATTTCTGTTTGAGTACCCTAGATTTCATGACATCAAAGTAGGACCTCATGGAAGACAGTGGGGCGTTGTTGCCCTGGCTGGCCCTGCGGAACTGGGGTCCTCTGTTCTCTGTACCAAAGTCTGCGGCCCCTGAGGTCTCACTGTCTGCCACTATCCCACTCTCTGTAGGGTAGGGTTAAAGAAGTCAGTGCTTGTAGACACAGATTGTGTAAACATTGATGGGTACACAATGTTAACACTGCTGTATACCAAAGTGTTAACATTGATGGCTACAAAATGTTAAAACTGCTGTATATCAAAGTATTAACATTGATGGGTACAAAATGTTAACACTGCTGTATACCAAAGTGTTAACATTGATGGCTATAAAATGTTAAAACTGCTGTATACCAAAGTGTTAACATTGATGGGTACAAAATGTTAACACTATACCAAAGTGTTAACATTGTGTGTGGGAGTGTTAAAAAAATCCTGCCTGTTGCTAGTACTCACCATTTGATGCAAATGATCGTCTGTTCATCCTTGGACTGTCCAAGGGGTCAAAAGCCAGATTTAAAGATCCCAGTAACCCAAATGATGATTGGCTGGAGCCAGACGAGGAAGTAGAGCTGACGGAGATGATGGAATGTGGACGCTTGTTGCCGTTACGAAGATAGTCAAAAGAAGAAACGGCTATAGAGTTTCTGGTGCGGGCTGGAAGCAAACAACACACAATACATTAGCCAACAGTAGAGTAACAGTAAAAAGGTTTTATTACATGTTACACTCCACTATATATTGTACACATTTCCTACTGAGTGGCACTTTGTTGTGTGTTCCAGATGTTAAGTTTTCTCAAAGATGTGCCATTAAAATAACTGGGGCTAAGATGTAAATAAATATATATTTGAACTTGTCTATTTATTTGTATTATTATTCCAGCTGTAATGATCTGAATGTTCAATTTTCCTAGCTGCCACTATAGACAAAGTCTACTGTACTGAGGCCACACATTACCTCCCTTAAAGTCTACTGTACTGAGGTCAGACTTACCTCCCCTGTTGTTGAGAGAAATGTTGATGGAGCGGTCCTGGATGTTGTCTTCACTTGGCTTGATGTCCATACACGGTTTGTTGCCGATGCCCATTGTAGCCAGCTCATTGATTCTGGTTTCTACAAGGATAATTGTTTAAATATAGTCAATATCAGTAATAAAACAAACAAGTGACAAAATATATTTTGTACTTAACTATAGAGCTATCAGCTCATGTGGTCAACCACCACCTTTAATGGTCAACTACCAGCTAGAGTGGTCAACTACCAGCTAGAGTGGTCAACTACCAGCTAGAGTGGTCAACTACCAGCTAGAGTGGTCAACTACCAGCTAGAGTGGTCAACTACCAGCTAGAGTGGTCAACTACCAGCTAGAGTGGTCAACTACCAGCTTGAGTGGTCAACTACCAGCTTGAGTGGTCAACTACCAGCTAGAGTGGTCAACTACCAGCTAGAGTGGTCAACTACCAGCTTGAGTGGTCAACTACCAGCTTGAGTGGTCAACTACCAGCTTGAGTGGTCAACTACCAGCTTGAGTGGTCAACTACCAGCTTGAGTGGTCAACTACCAGCTTGAGTGGTCAACTACCAGCTTGAGTGGTCAACTACCAGCTTGAGTGCTTACCTCGATTCCTAATGGCCTGTCTCCACAGCAGCCTAGAAATGTCCTTGACCCAGGCCTTCTTGACCTCTGTACTTGGCGCCTGCAGGACATAGTTTTCCCCCACTGACCGCCTCCTGAACCAGATCTCAAACTTGTAGCCACTGTCTCCATAGTTCTCTGTCATACCAATGTCAGCAGTCTGAGAGAGAGGGGCGCATTCATTAGAGGTCTAATCACTTACGTATCTAGTGGACAGCTAACTACATCAACAACATCTTATAACACAGAGGCCTGTGTGGGAACCCACCTTAAAGCTTGTCTTGTAGATGTAAATGTCATGCTGACCCTGCCTGCCTCTTCTTGTTTTACTGAACAAAATCAGATCTTCAAACAAGAAGATTCTTCTCATTGACTTCTTTCTACCCTGAAACACAAGAAACTCTTCCTGCCTCAGTAGTCTCCCTTGTTCTTGTAGGTTTACCTGTTACAAAAATATACAAGAAAATTGTTTCAATTCTTCATATTGTATTACACAAGCTATTTAAATTTAAGTACTGCAGAATAACAATATACATAGATTCAACAACTAAATTAATAAAACTATTCACTTTCCTAGAATTAAATATACAGGCTGTTTTTTTAAAATACTAAGTGCATGAGCCATAGCTACTTACATCACAATCTCTGAGTGAGTCCATAGCAAGGAGATCATTTCCATGTCGAAGTTGGAACTTGACCATTTCTTCAGCAGCCTTAAGTCAAAGAGAATGCTGGTATAAATATCTAGATCTTTCTTAACTGCAAAGACATCTTAAAAATTAACTAAAGAACTGACTATAAATTCAGCAAAGAGAAAGAGTAACAAGATCGGGCCAATGAGAAAGAGTGTAACAAGACTTGGCCAATGAGAGAGAGTGTTACAAGATCTGGCCAATGAGAACGCATGTAACAAGGCCTGGCCAGCTAGACTGAGTGTCCAGCAGACATGATGAGCTTACCTTAAGCTCTGGATACTCTGGTTCAGTCTCAGCACATTCCTTGACCAGCTGTTTGAGCAGCAGGGCGTACTTGCCCATCCTCTGTACAGGCTTGAGCAGGTAGCTGGACAGGTCCATCTTGTCACCCAGCTCTAGCTGTTTTTGCTGAAAGTGGGAGAATAATGTCACAGCTGAGGGCACTTTGCCTTATCTAAGGTGTAACTGGGCTGTCACATGCTGTGGGCACTTTGCCTTAAGGTGTAAGTGGGTTGTCACATGCTGTGGGCACTTTGCCTTAAGGTGTAAGTGGGTTGTCACAGGCTGTGGGCACTTTGCCTTAAGGTGTAAGTGGGTTGTCACATGCTGTGGGCACTTTGCCTTAAGGTGTAAGTGGGTTGTCACAGGCTGTGGGCACTTTGCCTTAAGGTGTAAGTGGGTTGTCACATGCTGTGGGCACTTTGCCTTATCTAAGGTGTAAGTGGGTTGTCACATGCTGTGGGCACTTTGCCTTATCTAAGGTGTAAGTGGGAGAACAGTGTCACATGCTGTGGGCACTTTGCCTTATCTAAGGTGTAAGTGGGAGAACAGTGTCACATGCTGTGGGCACTTTGCCTTATCTAAGGTGTAAGTAGGCTGTCAGATGCTGTGGGCACTTTGCCTTATCTAAGGTGTAAGTGGGAGAACAGTGTCACAGCTGAGGGCACTTTGCCTTATCTAAGGTGTAAGTGGGCTGTCAGATGCTGTGGGCACTTTGCCTTATCTAAGGTGTAAGTGGGAGAACAGTGTCACATGCTGTGGGCACTTTGCCTTATCTAAGGTGTAAGTAGGCTGTCAGATGCTGTGGGCACATTGCCTTATCTAAGGTGTACACATTTCATCTTATTCAAAGTAAAAAAAGTTGGAAGAAAAAAATACCCGAAAGAAATCTTTTCCATACTCCATCATGAGTGTATCAGACTTGGGTTTGTTTTTGTTGTACAGGGCATACAGATAGAACATGGTCTCCTGTGGAGGGGAGGACACGGTTAGGGTCAAGTTTTAAAATGTATGACATGTAATATAATGGCATCCAACAAAATATCAGGTATGGCATCCAACAAAATATCAGGTATGGCATCCAACAAACTAACAAAAAATACCCCTATATTGTGACAAGTTGAACAATTATAAAACGTATCTGTATTCCACATCACTCTACTAAAAATAAACCTTTTTGTTTTGCTTATGGTGAATTCAGTACAGAATAGCACTAGACAGGCATGAACATGAGCATTGAATCAAAGCTGAGAGTTCAGGACTTACATGCTGCAGGAAATATTGTCCCACCAAGAAGGGCTGGTTCTGGCAACTCTCCAGCTGTTTGAGGAAGTACTGGCTGTGGAACTGCTGAATCTTCTCCAGGTTACCAAAGATGACTGTCCTCTTGCCCCGCAGCATCTGAGGCACGTCCTCCCTCTGTAGCTCTGTCACATAGTGGTCCGTGATGAACTGCAGGGCCCTGACGTAATCCCTCTCTGTCTGGATCATCTCAGACATGATAAGGGACACGGTTCTACGACTCTTGATCTCTGCTTCAGACAGGCGCAGGTCAGCCATGGGGCCAGTTGGGGTCCCCCTGGTGGGCCTGTGGAGGTGGGTGTTGACTGGCACTGGGGCCCAGTCTTTGGTGCTGGTCATCTCTGGGTTGTTGCGGCTAGGGCTCATGTCCAGGTCATCCACTTCTTCTGGCATACTGGAGACAAACAAAACAAATCATTCAAATCTAACAGCTGTACAACATGGTAGGAAATATAAAATGTGAAAGCTAGTTGTGTCAGATAAAAATGAATGACTAAACAGAGTCCTAATGTAGCCCATTTCACTAAATCAGACCTTCAACCTAACTTACTAAATGGAACATTTCTGTTTTGTAATTAACAGGTAAAGTACTAAAACAGTATACAAATCTGATGTGACTATATACCATTAACAAATAGGCTGTTACCAATATCAGAACAAAATGTTTTGAAAACCATGACCAATAGCTAACTTGATTTATCAACACAGGTATGATGTAGGGTCACAGTGCATATCCATAGATGTGTTAGGCCTGACACAAACACTGACCATCACACTGACTGTCCTCAAATGTGTTGGATGTGACACACACACACTGACCATCACACTGACTGTCCTCAAATGTGTAGGATGTAACACACACACACACTGAGTACAGTCCACATAGAGAGACAGGTGAATACAGCTGAGAACGTGCTTCTGGCTATGACCCTGATGTAGATGAGGGGGGGGGGGGGGGGGGAGAGGGGGGCTTATTTAGTAACAACCTGTGTGCCTGGTCCCGTGTCATTAAGGGTCAACAGTGTTACATCACGTAGTTTACCAGGTGATAGAGTGACCTGGCCAGGCTCATGAGTCAGACTTAGCCTAATGACGTGACAATTAATGTGACCAAAACAAACCGAACTTAGCAGATACCGTGACAAGTTGACAGAAAGCTACTAGAACATTCTTACAGGCATGTATGGCCCCTGTAGCACACAGTATGACGTGGGGCACATGAGAGGAACTTAATTCTGAGGTAAAGGACAGTTGTGATTTATATATGACTGTTAGGCCGACAATGTTGCAGTAACGTTTACATAGTACCATCAAACAATCAAGTTTGAAATAATATGATAAAGTACTGATTACTGCTCAATAATTAGCACGATATGGTTTAAAATCATTTAACTAAAGTCAATAGATCCCAACATGAACATTTATTCCATATAGTAGAACACAGTAAGATGGTCTAGTCAACTAGCAACACAAGTCAATAGATACCAACATGAACATTTACTCCAGTAAAACACAAGCAAGATGGTCTAGTCAACTAGCAACACAAGTCAATAGATACCAACATGAACATTTACTCCAGTAAAACACAAGCAAGATGGTCTAGTCAACTAGCAACACAAGTCAATAGATACCAACATGAACATTTACTCCAGTAAAACACAAGATGGTCTAGTCAACTAGCAACACAAGAAAATAAATACCAACATGAACATTTACTCCATCTAGGAACACAAGCACTACTAGATTAAGGATGGTCTAGTCAAGCAATGCACGAGTTATCCCACCGAGTTATCCCCCGTCCCCCAGCCAACCCTGACAGCCAGCTGACGTGACCCAGGTAGTTGACGTGAGTGAGCGGAGAGTGGAGACATTAACGGTCCAGATACAGACCCTAATCCGCTTAGCTCGCCTCTACTCACACACCAGCAACAACTGAAACAATGGGACAATGGACAAGAAACTGCTTCACTATTTGCCGGCTTAGGGACAGTCAAAATAAATCAGACGGTGGCCGCTTTGTTTGGTTTATGTGGGGAGATGAGCTAATGGTGGTCAACTAGCCGTCTGGTCTAGCTAGGAGTCAGCAAGATGGAATATCAGAGTAACCACTAGCTCTGGTTTATGTGGAGAGATGAGCTAATGGTGGTCAACTAGCCGTCTGGTCTAGCTAGGAGTCAGCAAGCAGTGTAATAAGCTCTGGTTGAACCAGCTCAAACACTTAACTCGTAAACTGACATGCCGACGTTGTGGTAGTAAAAGTTACTTGACAAAGTAACTTATTTCTACTGAAGAAAGTACTCCACTGGATAAAGATAGTGGTCTAGTAAACTTATAACTGGCCAACAGAAGTGGTGGCTGACCAAGTGACGAGACATTAGAGACCTACCTCATGGTAAGAACCGTGAACACAAGAAGACAGGCAGCTTACACGGCAGGAACAGTGCCAGATCTGTGACCTTGCCACGAAGACACGGCCAACAGAATGTTATGTAACGGGGGCGGGGGAGGCGGGATTTGGTGAGTCGCTACCGTGCAACATTCACGACGAAAACAACTCTGTGTGTGTGTGTGTCGACTTTCTTGTGTCAGATGTGTACATGTTTGGGTGAGCAGGGAAAACAGATGATGTGCACGATCAGTCGGGCTGGTTTAATATAAGACGGTCTAACAAAGGCCACACGGTCCAGTAAGATAGTCGGTCTAACAAAGGTCACACGGTCCAGTAAGATAGTCGGTCTAACAAAGGTCACACGGTCCAGTAAGATAGTTGGTCTAACAAAGGTCATTAGGTCCAATAAGATAGTCGGTCTAACAAAGGTCACACGGTCCAGTAGGAACACTTGATGTTTCACCCTCCCCTCCACCCCACATCATCCGCTGCTACCCGTGACTAAAATATAATTTACATCTAGCATTAGTTTCTACTGGTATAGGGCCTACATGTTTAAGCTTTGACTATCTTCAGCTAATTACAATTATTTCTCAAAGGATCTTTGTATCGCCGTACTAAAATAGATAAAACCACTTCACGGGACTGTATTATTTTTTAACAAAATCACCCACAAGATGATTGGCCGAGAGTTCATTGAACTCTAGCCATGGCGGGAACAAGACGTAACAAACATGTCCGGCATCACGAGACCAGATTTAACCGATGATAGTAAATAACTTGTCTACTTCCTCAAGTACCTGCCTTATCGTCCAAATCACCTGACCTAGGTTAGTGACACCTATCTAATCTCTTGTCATGGTCCACTTACTCATTTGTCTAGCTGTAGCCTCCTGATCACATGCTGACTAACACGTTAACACCCCACATTATGTGGTGACAGACACCTTTAGACAATACTAACACCCCACATTGTGTGGTGACAGACACCTTTAGACAATACTAACACCCCACATTGTGTGGTGACAGACACCTTTAGACAATACTAACACCCCACATTGTGTGGTGACAGACACCTTTAGACAATACTAACACCCCACATTGTGTGGTGACAGACACCTTTAGACATAAGTGTAGGTGTGATGGCAATCACAAACACTTATACAAGACAATGCTATATGTGGTGACAGATAAAAGGCTACGTGAATGTATGGTGAGACTGACAGATATACCCATGCTACGTGTGTATGTATGCATAGTGACACAGACATGTATACACTGAATACAAGACAATGTTACATATATATGTGGGGTGAGACTGACATATATACTCTGAATACAAGACAATGTTACATATATATGTGTGGTGAGACATACCTTGGCAGAGATTCTGAGCTGCCACTGATCATGCTGACAGACTTCCCTGTTCTTCTCTCTCTTGCTCCACCAGCCTCTGTGTCCTGAGCTGGCTGCTGACCTGAAGAACTGACCTCTTCCTCCATTATAGGTGAGGTCAACATGGGCACTGGCGCCGTGCTTGCCCGTTTGAGCATCTTCTTGAGAGGTCTAGATGAGGGCGCGGCCCCAGCTGGGAGACTCTGAACACACTGGGCGGGCTGGGAGATGGTGCGGCCCACACTCAGCTTGATGGTGTTGGGGGCGGTCTGGCCAGGGGCTAGCCTGGCAGGGGGGGAGTTGTATAGTCTGAACCTGGAGGGTACCTCAGGTGTGGTCAATGTTGGGGAGACGGGTAGTGTAACAAATGCTGGTGATGTAGATGGGGCTTTGGTCGGGCTGCTGCTGGAGCTGCCGTCGCTGCTGTAGGTGCTGGATGGCGCTGCTGGGTACAGGAACTGAGCTGAGGTGCTGCCGTCAAATGTCTCTACTGGAATGTTTTCTGGCCTGTAGTTCATTTTTCTGGAGAACTTGGAGCCATCGCCAGCGCCGTGCCAGTTGGCGAATGTGGGCGTGCTGGAATCTTGTGGTTCCCAGACTGGACTCTGCTCCATCCCATCCCCAGCGGCCCTGTGGCTGAAGTAAGATGAGCTGTTGTTGGCTGTGGATGGCGTGGAGCACACAGAAGCATTGTCTGCAACATGTCTATAGTCACTAGTGAGATCTTGAGTGATGTGCTCAGCTGGGCGGCTATCAAAGCCAGCCTGAGAGTTGACCCCATGATGGGCGCCATCTTCCTTCAGGGCCTGCTCCACCTCCATCTGGTTCCTGGCCCGTCTCAGGGTGGTCTGTCTCAACAGCAGGAGTTGGTGGGTTTCCTGTCATACAAAATGATACAGTCAACCTGGGAAAGGTCTCAACGAAATATATTGTCTCAATGTAACAAAAACAGAAGCCCGTCTTGTACAGGTTTGATGTGAGCTGTCGAGCTAAAGAAACCCGTCTTGTACAGGTTTGATGTGAGCTGTCGAGCTAAAGAAACCCGTCTTGTACAGGTTTGATGTGAGCTGTCGAGCTAAAGAAACCCGTCTTGTACAGGTTTGATGTGAACTGTCGAGCTAAAGAAACCCGTTTTGTACAGTACAGGTTTGATGTGAGCTGTCGAGCTAAAATAAGTTTAGTGTCCCCACATACCTGGCAGCGAGCTTTGGCCACCCGACATTGCTCCAGTAACTTGTCATTCCTCAACCTTTGAGCAGCCTCCAGCATGCTGGTGAAGCTGTCCTCGCTGATGGGTGGGTGCTGGGACAGATAGATGGTGAAGCTCTTCAACAGCTTGTCCAGGCCGTCTGAGCTGGTGCTGTGTTCCATCTTCATGCTGGACACGTACTTCATCGCTTCTAGGGCCCATTCGTAGCTCTGGAATACAGGTGCACTATTATATACATGATTAACTGCAGGTGCTATTCATTTGTAATGTAGAAGACAAAAAATCACGTTTATAAGTGGCATTAAAAAAAATAAGAACGGATAAAAACGAAATCTAACAGTCATGAAAAAACTTACAAAATAGATGTCAATTTTTTTACAAGTGATAAGAAAACATTCAGGTGATTGCTTTACAAAATAAATATAACATTCCCCCATTGTAATGACCAGCTGAGGTTTCCAAACATTTATCACAGAAACGATCGAGTAGATCTAGTCATGCTAAGCTCGAGTCAACTGTTATGGTCACTGAAACAAAGACCTTCACTGCCGGGAGGCTGGTGTACCGAATGACACCACAAGTTCACGACCACAACATTGACGTCAGACAGACTACATAAAACACGGCACTCTCATTGGCTGGCCCTACAAAATATTCCACGAGGGTCAAAGTTTGTAGTAAATATCAAATGGAGCCCGGACGTGTCAACAAACATAACAGAAAAACAAAACACAAACCGGAGCGGCTATGCCGGATTGCATTTTCCCGAGCCCATTTTTTGAGCAGCTAAAGCTACGAGACGGCGAGGGAGTCGAGGCTCATATCCAAAGGTCAACAGGGGACACGGCGGTGCTGCTGCTCGGGTTGACTTACACGGAGACGACCGGCGGCCGCAATTGTTCTCAGCAAGTCGTTAGATGTAAATCAACAGCACCATGGGGCAGCCCAGCGTAGGTTATGCTGACTCTGGGCAGCCCATTCACACGCTGGGGCAAACACTCGGTTCATAACGTCCACATTCCGTGCGCGTCAAATGCTCCTGACAATGGAAGAGACCTGTTGAGAGCAGGTGACCCTGCAGGTCCAGCTACTCAGCACGCACGGTCACTCGGTGCGTTTGGGGGTCATGTTCGGTTCGTTCCGTCAGTCCTGCAGGAATTTTTCATTATCTAATTGACAACAAACCGACTCACTGTTACAAGATCAGGCGCAAGTTTTGTCACAAGTGACAACAGACTAAGTCGGTGTTGTAAGGACCAGCAGTGGACTGGTCCACACAATGGTCACATTCAATGTTGGTCTGGAGCGGCTGGACAATGGCTACATGTAAACTTTGGAAGGGGGGGGGAGCTGGTAGTAAATGTTTACTAGCCGACAGACCGCAGCCGTTAATACAAACAATAATGTGTGGACAATAAATCGCCTTTACAGAGGAATTGTCTTGACTGACGTGCTGTTTAAACTACCAGCGTCTAACAGAAGGAAAATATGGGGTCGTTCGTTAATGACGTCTTGCACCTCGGCGACAAAGTCAGACTTTCGTGAAGACTTGGCAGGTGGGGGAAGCGGGGACGTATGAGAATAAGCGGTAAACAATATTTTGATTGCGAAGATTGATAGTTTCGAAATTTGCTGATGCTTACAAAAATTTAAAAAGCGAATTTAGAAAAAAATAATTGCAATTTTCTAAAATTGTTGATTTTTATTTTAAAAATTGTAAGCAACTGCAGCAAAAAAAAAAAAAAAAAAAAAATCTTGTATTGCTCAATAACTTTGCGCTAAGAAAAATATGAAATGTCCTATAACCCGCTCTTGAACCGACCATCTGATCATTAAAATCGACGTCTTAGTTTACGCACACACACACAATAAGAGTGCACTGTATCTCCTATAGTAGAAAAATGACGGTGAACGTGATGTGATACACGCTCACGTTTGTAGGTAGATCATTAATTTAGGGTTGTAATGAGACATGTTGATTTTTAAAGTTGGATCGTTAACATTGTATAGATCATTTTTAAAGGTGTAAAAGCCTTATAGCCTCATGGGGGGGGGGGGATACTTAACAGTATTGAGTGGGGGATAATCTCAAAATGAATGACGTCATTTATAAAAGGCCAGTTTTTAAATGACCCAATAGTTTGACAGAAATTGTCCGATCAACGTTTTTTGGTCCATGAGAACTAATGGGGGGAAGGAGTAGAAACATTTATCATGAAAATACAAGTGGGTCGACTATAACTATATAATGGATGGGATGTAAGCGAGATCTGTGGCGGTGCCTGTACACATGAATGGGATACAGTTGTGCACGAGGCGCCCTATAGCACTCTGGTTAAAAATGGAACTGACACGAGGCAGGGGATACACAGGACGAATACTTTAGTTTATGGGGAGGGATGGGTGGGGGAACATAAATTACAGACAGAATATTTGAAAGGGAAGCAGATAACTAAAACACAAAGTAAGATTACAACAAAGTATAGCAGTAACACATAAAGTAAGATCACAACAAACTATAGCAGTAACAGAAAGTAAGATTACAACAAACTATACCAGTAACAAACCAAGTAAGATGACAACTAACTATAGCAGCAACAAACCAAGTAAGATTACAACAAACTATAGCAGTAACATAGACAGAAAGTAAGATTACAACAAACTATAGCAGTAACAGACAGAAAGTAAGATTACAACAAACTATAGCAGTAACATAGACAGAAAGTAAGATTACAACAAACTATAGCAGTAACAGACAGAAAGTAAGATTACAACAAACTATAGCAGTAACACAGACAGAAAGTAAGATTACAACAAACTATAGCAGTAACATAGACAGAAAGTAAGATTACAACAAACTATAGCAGTAACATAGACAGAAAGTAAGATTACAACAAACTATAGCAGTAACATAGACAGAAAGTAAGATTACAACAAACTATAGCAGTAACATAGACAGAAAGTAAGATTACAACAAACTATAGCAGTAACATAGACAGAAAGTAAGATTACAACAAACTATAGCAGTAACATAGACAGAAAGTAAGATTACAACAAACTATAGCAGTAACACAGAAACGCCTGTGCGCAACAAGAGACGAGTCCAGTAGTTAAAACGGCCTTACCACAACATAAACAATGCTTGCAGCTTTACAAATAAATGCAACAAGAAGTTTTCTCAGGATGAATTCCACAAGGAGTTCTCCCATTTTCTCAAGTCAGCGCAGCAAAGTTGTTTTAATCCGATGAGTGAGTTGGTCAAAGTTGGTATCGACAGTGAAATAATCAAAGCATCACAAGCCGTGGACATGTACAAAGTTCCGTGTCTCTAAGGTAGATATCCATGCACAACAGTGGTCAAGTGGTCATATCAAACTTTGTGTAGTTTCTCTCAGCTCAGTCAAGCACGAGTCGATCGTTTGCTGGTCAGAAGCACGAATGTCGGCTCATGCCAAGTCAATTACATTTTAAATGGGAGCGGGCTTTTGGTCATCGGCCATCCAATGTGGACGCTGGTTTTGTTTGTCCACTCTCCGCTTGTGGATTAGACGGGGGATCACAACGCCTCCTTTTCTTTAACACCCCCCCCCCCTCCCGACGGACACACACACTTGACTGTTCTGCTCTTGTGATTTGCAATATTTGAACTTTTTATAATAACTGTCACTATGACCAACATTTTTTATGGGTAGGCCTATTTATTTCACAAAAGACTTTTGTAAAGTTACCTTTTGAGTTTCTACACATTATGTAGCTAACAGGTTTTTTTTTTTTAATCACATGACGGGACAAGCTGAAATAGCGCCAGAGCCAATCTGGTGGTGTACAACCATTCTCTGCTAGCCTTATGTGTACACTAAGGTACAGGAATGAATGACTTCACTGTCACTGTATGACGGGCTATTATTACATTGTGTGGAGCGCCAGTGTGTGGAGCGCCACAAAGACAGAAACAGAGTGGTTTAGTTGAGTCTCCGTATCGGATCACACCCTGTCCAGTGACGCCCTCACCCGATTTTGTGACCTCACCCTACACGAGAATGTTCTAGAAAGGGACGTCCATGATAAATAGCAGAGGGGAGGGGGTGCCCGAAAGACGCTGTCACAAACTGTCACTGATAGCTTGACCACTAAAAAAAAGTAAAGTTCCCCTTTCAAACCTGACGGTCTATAGGGCAAGTGAAGTAGAGTTCACTTGTTTCTGTGACTCGGCATATGAAGAGATAGTGTGGTCAGCACTATGCCCAGCCGCGTGGTGGACTCGGGGACGGTCTACTCACTTGAACCCGGATTCGAACTCGAGACTTACGGGTCAGCAGTCCAGCTCTCTACCGCTAGACCACTCCGTCCTCTAGACCACTGGCGACCTGTTACTCTCGTTAGAATTACATGTAGGGTAGGGGATAAGATTGTGAGGTCATTTAAGTGAGCTCTCCCCCTTCTCCCCCCCCCCCCCCTCTCTCTCTCTCTCTCTCATGCGGACAATACCAGATCGAACAATGCTCATAAACCAGACAGGTGGCAACAGTATGAAGAATCGAGCACTTCTCACATTCACAGCCGGGTTCAAGTCAGCAGAACGACCCTGAGTCCACCCAGCTCTGATGGGTACCTAACTCACGTTAGGAAAAGTAAAGGCGGCATGGGAAAAGTGCTGACCACTCTATCCGAATTCCCTGAAACAGATGAACTTTATACTTCATCTGCCCATTGTGTCTTGGGGACGAACGGGAAAGATGATGATACCCGTGGGTTGCTATTAGACACATGGTTCATCCCCTGGCGCACCGACCTGGTCTGGATATGGGGGGGGGGGGGGGAGGGGAACTGCCCTACGGTGCTGAGTTTCGGGTGCCGAACTCGTGACTTGTATGCTATTGAGGTCGCGGTTCTACCGCTAGGTCGTGCCATTTAAATATGACGTAGCAAAACTTTTCATTTCTTAAAAATCAAAATATACCCTGACACCCCACCAAGTAGATCATTAAAAATCCAAAGACATATCCCCATTTCACCCTAGCGCGTGACATCATTTAGGGAAGATTTCTATAAATAAAGCTATGCTTATTTAAAATGCAAGAGCAATATTTTGTTACGTAAATAAATAGAATGGATGATATTTTCATATGTAAAAACCAAAAAATAAAGTCTAATCAATACAACGCAACACAATTCAGCCAAATAAAAACACTGGCTATACAGAATGTGTGGGCGATATGAATGAAATACGAGATGAATGTCAAAAGTTTTATTTAAAACCTGGTATCAACAGAAAAGTTTTAGTTTTAGGTCTATTGTTTCTATACAAGGTTACAGTGAGAAAAAAGAAAGTAGTAAATTTATCTGGCAACTATTCTCAAGGCCGCGTGTTGCTAGTCTAGCCAGAGACAGTTAAGGAAAGATTCTATTCTAGGGGTCAATGAAAGCGTCGCTCAAAACATGTGACCAGTGGTTAACACCCACGTGATCATTCTCTTCTCGGGGCTTTCATTTCCTGTGGCACGGGGCTCGGGAATGCCGTTGGTCATGAGAGCTATTTTGTGCTGCTGGTCCTTGAGCCCGGTGAAATGTTGCACCCCATTTTTAGAAGCTCTTCACATCATCAAAGGCTGCTTTCAATGTCATCTTTTTTTCTCTGGGATTTGTGCTCGGTGGGCGAGCCCATATCGAACATACAAGTTGAGGAAGAAATCAATTAAACGCCATCATTAAACAAGGTTTCAAATGTCTATCGGATGAGTGGGCTTGGAATATGTCTCAACGATTGCGGGAGATACGTGCCTATAACGTCAAGCTTTGTATATAAAAATAACAGGAAAAATTCCTCTTCTAAAAATTCCGATACAGTAACTTTATGAATTCAAATTATTGACGTGTATACTCGGCATTCTAAAATAATTATTAAGAAACATTGCGGAAGCGTTTTAGCAATGCCGTTAAGAATTATTTTCAAAAATGATATGGTATATCTGTAAGACAAAAGTTAAATTAAGAAAATGAAGAGAAAATTACAGTATATTTGAAAAAAATCCTGAGTGAATACTCAGTGTAGTTAGGCATGGCAACAGACAGATCAATGAGATTGTAACAGGGACCAAAGAACGAGAATTGTAAAAACATCCCAATGAAGAAGGTAACGTGCCGGACCTCACCCCCACAACAAAGCTTTAATGCCCCTTGATCTAGGAATCAATACGATGGACACCAAATGGTCAAGTTCACGGTCAACACGCCATCAAGGCCGCGTGGACGGTATTAGATCAAGTCCTTGAGAGCAAGACCCAAGCATGGCCGGCATGTTGACCAGAGGCTTGAGCCGCTTGATTAAGTGGACGTGCCTGCCTGCTTCACCTGCTTAATACAGGCTCGACTCATCAGCTTCCGGTAGTAAACATGGCGGACTCATGCAGTCTGGGCACCGTCCAGCTCCCTGATAATCTCACTGTGGGGGCGGGGAGAAGAAGGGGGAGGACACACCCAATGTGTAGCTAAATACAGCACAGAGAATCTCGTTTAACAAAACTTATTGTTGATACCACTGAAAAAATGGTTGTGTAGGATAAACCATGGGATTTTTAGTGCTAATAATACTGATACAACTGTAACTATCAAAGGTACGAGTTCAAGCACGTTTTTTGGAATAAAGAAATGCAGTGTTGAAAAACGTTTAACTTACCATACCTATATTTTTCTTCATAAGCCTAATCAAGAAAGTTTGCTTGGGATGGTAGTTAACGTTTAAATGACATTTTAGTATAATCTAGTACTGTTTGTAAAAATAACATGGGAAAAGTTCAAGCTAAAGATTTAAACTATTCGCACATCAAGATGAACATTTTCAAAACTAGTCAACAAAACTAGGAACCAATAAAGATGCACCCTTCACTCAAGAAACATAACCTTGAATATGATACACTAGTGCTCTAAAGATGCACTCTTCACTCAAGATACATAACCTTCAATATGATACACTAGTGCTCTAAAGATGCACTCTTCACTCAAGATACATAACCTTGAATATGATACACTAGTGCTCTAAAGATGCAATCTTCACTCAAGAAACATAACCTTAAATATGATACACTAGTGCTCTAAAGATGCACTCTTCACTCAAGATACATAACCTTGAATACGATACACTAGTGCTCTAAAGATGCACTCTTCACTCAAGATACATAACCTTGAATACGATACACTAGTGCTCTAAAGATGCACTCTTCACTCAAGATACATAACCTTGAATACGATACATTAGTGCTCTAAAGATGCAATCTTCACTCAAGATACATAACCTTGAATATGATACAAGTAGCGCTCTAAAGATGCACTCTTTACTCAAGATACATAACCTTGAATATGATACAAGTAGCGCTCTAAAGATGCTATTTTCACTCTAGAACCATCACCTTGAATATGATACAAGTAGTGCTCTTACCTTGTCTAGCAGATGGTAGCACTTGGCGGTGCCTTCTATCCTCTCCCTCGCCTCCTCCAGCTGCCCAGTGAAGGTCTGTAGCTGCCTCTTTAAGGTCTTGGCCAAATCCTTGTAGCCCGTGGCTTCAGAGAAGTTGCCGCACTGAGACAGCATGCTCGCCTCCTCTAGCAGATCATTGCCTTTCTCTATGTAAGACTGTCAGACAAAGGGGAAAACACGTTGAAATCATACACAAATGGTGGTCATATATCATATTTCTCTATGTAAGACTGTCAGACAAAGGGGAAAACACGTTGAAATCATACACAAATGGTGGTCATATATCATATTTCTCTATGTAAGACTGTCAGACAAAGGGGAAAACACGTTGAAATCATACACAAATGGTGGTCATATATCATATTTCTCTATGTAAGACTGTCAGACAAAGGGGAAAACACGTTGAAAGCATACACAAATTGTGTTCATATATCATATTTCTCTATGTAAGACTGTCAGACAAAGGGGAAAACACGTTCAAATCATACACAAATTGTGTTCATATATCATATTTCTCTATGTAAGACTTTCAGTAAAAGGGAAAACCAATTGAAATCATACACAAACTGTGTTGATATTACATTTTCTGCTGTTGTTTCTTTAGTTAGTGTTACAAAAATGTTAGTGTAGTATTCTATGGAAGCAATAAAAAGCGGACGATATAACGAGCGGACCAGGTATTCTTACAGAACTGATGTAATGAGCGGACCAGGTATTCTTACAGAACTGATGTAATGAGCGGACCAGGTATTCTTCCAGAACTGATGTAATGAGCGGACCAGGTATTCTTCCAGAACTGATGTAATGAGCGGACCAGGTATTCTTACAGCACTGATGTAATGAGCGGACCAGGTATTCTTACAGAACTAATGTAATGAGCGGACCAGGTTTTCTTACAGAAATGATGTAATAAGCGGACCATGTATTCTTACAGAACTGATGTAATGAGCGGACCGTGTATTCTTACAGAACTGATGTAATGAGCGGACCAGGTATTCTTACAGAACTGATGTAATGAGCGGACCATGTATTCTTACAGAACTTATGTAATGAGCGGACCAGGTATTCTTACAGAACTGATGTAATGAGCGGACCAGGTATTCTTACAGAACTGATGTAATGAGCGGACCAGGTATTCTTACAGAACTAATGCTGTGTAAGACAAGTGAACGGTGGGAGAACTATTCGTTCAAACACTGATTCTTACATAAGTGTGGTCCATTACACTGTCCAACAAGGCCTTTACATGACCACTGCCGATGTAATATCATAGAGATATTGACACAGACAGCGCGATACATTGATAATAACGACCTTAAAAAGACAAAAGCACTAAGATGTGACCAAAATGGGAATGACCTACGGTAAATATAAATAGCTGATACCTTTTTAAATACAACACCTGCAAGTACATGGAATAATTTGGTTTCGTAAAGACTGAGATCAGGGTCCATATCTTCGGGATTCAATGTGTTCACATGTAATAAAACGGTTGTAGGGGTTTCGTGGTCAGGGTTAAATTTAAAAATTGGAATTTTAATACTAGATTTGGGACATACTGTACCCCCCCCCCCCCCCTCTCCTCCCGCCCGCTCCCTCGAATACTGCAATTTACTAAACATGTTTATTACGTGTACGTAGCCTAAAACAATTTATTACATACATGTACGTTAGTCCGTCATATAACAGTGTTGTACAATATAACTTATAAGAACGAATGAAAGTGTAGCCTGTAAGTTGACAATTTGTGTGTCGTGTGTTCATGTGCTACATGCTCAAGCAAAATGCTGAAACAGTTCTATAGCTCAGAGCTAAAACACATCTACAACCAACTAGATAAGATATATTTTATAATCATTCGGTGGGGATTCGTGTGCAGTCCCTCGCGGCTGATGTCAAATGTAATCAATCACAGAACAACAGGTAAATCCTTACATAAAGCTGTAAGAGCTTCAGGTTAGTGTAGGCCAAGTCTGGTGACACGGGAGGCAGGGCCGACGTGTCTGATTTCATCAGATCGCCATCTGAATGCCAGCATTTTTTCTCTGCAGACAACAAACCGGTGCTGGCGTCGGTGTAGGATACGTCGGGGTGGTCCACGGTCGTGTAGTACAGGTCCCCGTCGGAGGGTGTTCTGTGCGGTGGAAAAAGCTGTAGTCTGACGTCAGAAAATGGGTCCGTTGATTGACGTCGTGTCTTGAAGCTTGCAACTATAGGACTCCAGCAACAAAGGCTGGACACTTTCTTCACTGGCTCCATTCGTCTCGTGCGGTCATATGGTTCAAGCACAATAAACACAACTCTAGCCTTACAACACAAGAATTAGCTAACTACACCATATCATGCAGGTGATCAATTAATCCATAGGGCGAGTGATGAAATAGCTGGTCTTGATGTAACTTAACTTTGGTAGACTTGTATTTTTTTTTTTTTTTTGTAACTTAGTTGTATGTGATAAAGGGTTAAAAACACGGTTAAAATTGTAGTAGGCTGGTGGTGTGGGCAAGTACACACCAGTAGCGTGTGAGGTTTGACTAGAGCTCATGTTTACACGCTAGTGCTGTGTGCTGGTGTAAACATCAGACCCGTGTAACAACACGGACTGTTGTCTAACTACGTCAGTTGAACACATACAACCACAGAGTTTTTGTACAAGCAGAAAACCGGAAACATCTTTTTACCTCGGTGGTCATTCACGTTTTAGAGAACGAGATGAGCATTGTATTTCCAAATAACCAGGTCATCGGAAAGTGTGACGTTCTAATCTGTTATTAGACTAAACTGATAGAGGAAGTGAGTGGTAGGAGACCGTGGGGAGTGGAAAGCTTTCACAGAGGCCCCATTTTTCCTCAAGGAACGAAAAGGAAAAATGATCATGATAGGGGAACAAGAGATACAAACAACGCCATCTTTACACTACCATCTGTACCAACCCATACACGCATCCGTGTCTAGGTGTCATATCGATACTAAAACATTAATGACGTGACAGTAGGCTTTATAGCCATATCAATACTTTGGATAACTTAATGTAAAGAAAAGTTATAGATCTCACTAAGCTTAGAGAATTATATCACTTTTTCAATAACCTCGGAGTATCAGAGAGGTGTCACGCAGTAAACAATGACACGTGACACTTCTTATGTCCGTCAGGTTATGCACCATAAGCAATATTCTTAAAAGATGGTTTTTGTCAGGTTATGCACCATAAGCAATATTTTTAAAAAAAAATTATTTTCGTCAGGTTATACACCCTTAGCAATATTCTTTAAAAAAATTATTTTCGCTCTCCCTTGAAAATAAAATAATGTGTAAATACGCTTTGAACTTAAGTGTAGGCCTATATGGACCATTTTAGTATTTATGATTGACTAGTTGCACGAGCTTTGTACTGAATCTATGATAATCAAATATTTAAGTAAGGTATATGACGTCATGAGCACCGAGTGTGAAAACTTAACTAATTAGAAAAGCTGCATTTAAGTAACTATGTACTCATGATTAATATAAGGTAAAAAAGTACGGTAACATTACAGCCGTTTTAAAACACGGATAATTACAATATCTAAAGAAAGCAAACTAAGTAAGAGTTAAAATGATGAGCTAGTGGCGTTAAGTGTTGAAATAGGTAACAGGGTGTTAGTCCCCCTACAACTTACGTCACGAGTATACGATCACAGAAAATGTTTGAATGCACTGTATCACGTACCTAGGAGAGACACAACTAGAGCACACAAGACGTCACTGTTTTAGCAGGTCATTAACGGGGATTTAGCCATTAGACGTGTGTATTGACGTAGCCCCCCCTCCCACTGAATCAATACTCATCGAAAGAGTTAACACATGCTATCCCGTCAGACAATACACATGTGTTTACATCAGCTGTACATCTTCTTCACGCAACAGTTGCACGTCATTGTACTGGACATAACCGTAACTTTAAAGCTGAGATAACTTACACTCTTAGTTAACAAGGATTTTTACACATGTACATAAAACATGACTTCTAGCCCAGTTCGCTTAAATAGCATGCAGTTAAACTAATTTCAACAAAGCTTCATTAGTGTTCTATATTATCAAATTTAAAGACGGACATTGGTAGACATACCTCGTCCGTTTGCAGCCATCATAGGAATCCTACAGTGTGTAGACAAAAAGCTGGATACATGTGTATGAACACAGCTGGTCTGTCAGCATACGTGTGTATCAACATAACGTGTGTATCAACATAACGTGTGTATCAACATAACGTGTGTATAAACAGGCGCGTGTCCAGTATAGAACAGGTCAAGCAGCACAGTGAATCAGTGTTAAACCAGTCCGTGCCACACTTCTATAAACAGTAGCAAGGAGGGCCGGCTCCCAATGGCATCCAGAAATCAATAAGAGATCTCGCGTGTCATCTTCCCAGCCTGCTCGTGTTGGCCTACACCGCCCAACTGGACTTTTTTTGGTGATTGTATCGGTTGGTTTAAAACGTTCAATTGACTAACGAACTTTATCACATCACTGAGTTAGGAACACCACAATAAGTGCAGATACCAATCAATAAACCGTCATTAAATCTTAATAGATGTGTGTAATTTCATTAGTAGTCGCTAATTATTTTTTTTAATGTCAAACGTGTGTGAAATATATCCTTTATTTTATTTACTGCGCGGGAAAAGAGTAGCATCAAAAATAAAATTAAAAGAGAAGAAAGTCACCCCTCCCGTTAACCAAAAATGCAAACGCTACTAGAATTCTAGCTTGATGCAAGCGTGTAGGCAAGGAAAAGTTAGCGTAGGCTAACTCAAGCGGGGCAACTGCACTCGGTTTGTAATTTACGCAGTAGCCTCCCTTTACAAGTCCCACAATTAAAATCTTTTTTTGTTGGCCATTAATTAGTAGAATATTTTGAACCAGAAATAATGTATGTCTTAGTTATTTTTCGAAAGTGTTTATATTTTTATATAATTATGTCTAAGACCATACTATGAGCTAGACGCATATCCTGTAATTTACAATTTTAAGGACTGTTTATCCACAAGCCTACAGAATGAAAGTGATTTACAAACTTATTACAAGCTTTTATATTTAAATTGATTCTTCTGTCTGTTGCCAGTCTTGGATGGAAATCTCACCCACTTCTATAGAACCCATTTGTTTCAATATTTTTAGAAGTTACAAAAATTTATGTATTTTTAAATGCATGCTGTATAAACTATTAGTATTGTCGCGCTATCCAACCATCGAGTGTAAGTCAAACCTTCAAGATAAAATGTCAACTCAATGGGAAACCAACCAGTAGGGACACATCGTTGTATTTTTATTGTACAGGTTTCTCGTTTTTATCCCTCCCCACCCCCCACTTTTTTCACACACGCCGGAAGCGGATCTCCCCGGAGTCTGGAGGGTCGAGAGATAATTAGATGCCAGCTTTATTAGAGAACTGACCACTCAGTGTCAGAAGGTCCAGTCTGACAGGCGAGAACACTGCCAGGGATGGGAGAGCGTTGGAGGGGACATGTTCAAATCTAAACAATCGTTGGAGGGGACATCTTCAAATCTAAACAATATTCTAAACAATCGTTGGACGGGACATCTTTAAAACAATTGTTGGAAGGGACATCTTCAAATCTAAACAATCGTTGGACGCGACATCTTCAAATCTAAACAATTGTTGGACGGGACATGTTCAAATCTAAACAATTGTTGGACGGGACGTCTTAAAATCTAAACAATTGTTGGACGGGACATGTTCAAATCTAAACAATTGTTGGAAGCGACATCTTCAAATCTAAACAATTGTTGGACGCCACATCTTCAAATCTAAACAATTGTTGGACGGGACATCTTCAAATCTAAACAATCTTTACACGGGAAACCTTCAAATGTAAACAATCAACGTTCTTACAAAACACCATGAGCATTACTTTCAAATCTTTATCACATGTTCACATGTACAATATGATAGCATATGAAATAATGGTTCAGCCAAACAGAACTAATTTAAAAAATCTTGTCTAACAATAATCACCGTGAGCCCTAATAAAATTGGGCTGGAGGCTCACACGAGCTGAAATGAGTTAGGACGATAATTATCTGCAGGTAATAGCTAGGAAATGTGCTAGATTGAGTCGATCAGGAAATGATGTGTCAGTAATTATGACACAGTGAGTATTAATTGGTAATTGATTTATGCCCATGACGAAGTGCACAGGCATTGCAGTTACCACCGATTATTTATAACTTGTGTAAAATGTAACATCCCCAGTGAAGATTATAAAGGGCATGTTCACCACAAGTTTATCTGGCATGTACTTTAGATGTGTGACCATTAACCACCTACACACCAACTTCAATTAACCATGTACTTTAGATGTGTGACCATTAACCACCTACACACCAACTTCAATTAACCATGTACTTTAGATGTGCGACCACTAACCACCTACACACCAACTTCAATTAACCATGTACTTTAGATGTGCGACCACTAACCACCTACACACCAACTTGAATTAACCATGTACTTTAGATGTGCGACCATCAACCACCTACACACCAACTTCAATTAACCATGTACTTTAGATGTGTGACCATTAACCACCTACACACCAACTTCAATTAACCAGGAGAGGCAGCCCGAACTAATAAGAGATTTCACGCATGACTTCCCTCAATAACTTCTGCCCTGTCTGTCTGCTTCACTCAGACCCTAATATCTAAGGAGGGCATTCAAGCTATTTGTATCGTTGCTACAGTCGAGGAAAATTAGATTATGGGGGAGGGGGGAAGGCGATAAGGATGCGTGAATACATTCGCAATGAGATTCTTTTTCACTTTTAATCAGTAGGTTAACTTAGGTTAACTCTATATAGAATAAATGTAGCCACGATGTTCAGTCCAACTTAAGCAGTGAGTGGAATGGGGGCAAGACAACATGGTTGTAGAACAATATCTAATTAACTACAAAACTGGGTAGGATAGACAGAGGAAAGTTCAGGGGTCAACTCCATGTAACATAAGGTCATAATAAACCTAGACATGGACAAAGTGTTAGCGACCACTAGACACGAATTTTGCAGGAAAGGTGTTTGTGTATCGTCATACTGTGTGCTCGGGTGTACTAGCCCACTGTTTTAGTACCAGATGCATGTGTACAAGAGAACTCACCATAGACGAGTAGTAGAACTTCTCAAACTCCTTCTGTTGATGGCGGACTGCCCTGAGGTTATCTGCTGTGACGGCGTGCCGCTGGAGGATGGAGTCGCCATCTTGTGACAGCCAGTCAATCACCTGTACACACACAAAAAAAACATCATCAAACATGTGATTGGTAGAATTTTGAGATCATGAAATACTTTTTTAAAACCTGAATCTCATGTAAACTACCTATGTGTTGGCTACTACTAGCTTCACTTGGTCAAGGTGTATCTGATACACACAATATATCACGAGAATTCCTTTAATACTGTATGTAGTCCCCTCCCTTGTTCAATATCATGTTCAGATACTGCATGCCCTGGTGACCTGCGGCAAGCGACACGAATACTAGGGACGTGACAGTGAACTTTATCTCATTAGCCAGTAGGGGATAATGCTAAAAATATACGACCCTCCCCGTAAGCACTTGGACTAGATTACTATCCAAACAATGGCATTATCCCCAAGCGTTCCTTGGATTAGAAACACGAGGCAGTTAACAAAATAACTACAAGATTGTGCCAGGCCTTATGATAGGCCAACGGTTCACTACATATTTGACAACCTTTGCTGATGTTAATATAGAAGAAAGAATGCAACGGCAGCAAAAGGGTTGGATAGCATTTTTTAATAATTCAAAATAATGTGTGCAGTGTTATTAAACGTGACTGTTGCATTTTGTATCCCTTCTGTACTAATTAATTGTGTTTTTTGTTGACAATAATTTAGTTCACTAAACAATATGGGGGGAGGGGGGGGGGAGCCAAAACAAAGTTTTTGGTTTTTTTCTTGTCGCCACATGGTAATGACATTTAAATGTAAACATATCAGCCTTTACTAAAAGCCTGTTGCAAATAAATAATTACCTAAAGAAAAATGGGGCTTATAGGACAAAAATAATGTTGGTTTTTAAAATAAGTTTGTCAACATCCAACGTGGACTCAGTTATGTAATGCTATAGAATTATGTAACCCTAGTGACTGGAATGTTTGAGATGCTTCAAGTAAGAGGAAATCATCAATGTAATTGGGACATTAAGCACGCGTACGTTGTGCACACAGGCCCGTGTCTAGGCTAGAACAGCTAAGTCAACACAGATGTGTACATGGGGTTGGCTGGGGACACCTACACATTTAGACACTGGCTAGTTGAAGCGGGTGTTTAGTATTAAAATTACTCACACAAGAATTAACCTTCAAGCAATTTGTCAATTTTTTAAAAGAATCTTAAATTCTTAAGGAAAATTTAAAACCTTTTAATCTCAGAAGTTAGTGCCTATTGTAAGTGTAGTTAGTTTTCAGTAATAATTAAATCGTGCTGGGGAAAAATGACCTACCGACGCGTCGTTTATGTTTAAAGGCATAAGCCCTGAACAGCTAAGCTCTATTCCACTGTCGTTAACAGCACTGTCACAACCATTTGTAGGTGGAAACAGTGGGCAGGTGTTGGTCCCAGACGGACTCGAACCACTGGTAGAAAACATAGAACTTCCGCTAGTCCTACTGTCCTGCGGGCAGGTATTGGTCCCACACGGACTCGAACCATTGTGAGAAAACATAGAACTTCCGCTAGTCCTACTGTCACAGGAGACAGTGCCACTACTAACATAATGAGCTTTCTCCGGCGGTTCACTCGAAGCCTTCCTGGGATTGGAATGTTGCTGGCGGAAACTGAACATTTTGAACCCTAAAGATTTCTCCAGACTTTTGGTCGTCTTAAGCTTGAAAGGCTTCTTGAAAGAAAACGGCCGTTTGAAGTCCGAGGCACCAAACCTGAAGACATGGTTGCTGGTGCCTGGCGACGTGGATGGCGATGTGACATCGCACATCTCCACGTCCGTGTCTTCGGTCAACATTTGTCCATCACAAAACACGACGAGAGAATCAAAGCAATTGACCAACACAAATAGTGGTACCTCCTAGACGTACATGGGAAACTTTAAGTTAAATCCTTCACCATTGTCACTTTCTTTATGTCTCCAATAGAAGAATGCAACACAATAGCTCTTTACAAATCCATAATGCAGTGATAAAAAATCTCACGTCTTAAAACTATGAGAACAAATATAGCAATATTAAAACACAACCTAACATTCTATAAATGCCTGCTATTGATCGTGACGTTTAAACCAATTTCCTCAACCACAGAGGATTAACAGATTAGATTAAACCCTTAATCCGGCTTTCCCACAGCGAGAAATCCCGCCAGCGAGTGACTAAATCTCTCGACCAGTCGATGTGCAAGGTGCAACACGTCCTAAACACAGCTGATTTAACTTGTCGGATAATCGATAGCTAAAAATACAGCTCCACATCTATACACTACCAATAAATGGTTAGCTATGACAAAACTCTATTTTGTGAAGGTATGTAAAAGGCCAGACATGAATACCATCAATGTAGGTCGTCTATACAGTGTAGAGTTAATCACGAGAACACTACCAGTAGATGTACTGTGAAGTAAAATACTAAACGTCCAAAGGAAATCCTACATTATGTAGAGTATACTGCACATATCCACTGTTTACATTGAATACAGGCTGCAAATATACAGTGCGCTACTTGGCCTCTACACTTCAATCACGCAGTGAATAAGGCTAAGAAAGAATATCTATTTATATCCAGGTATCTAAATATAGACGAAACAAAAGAAGAGGTGGATGTCCTAGTGCTTGAATACAAGTGACACACATGTGCACTGACTAATGAGCCGAGTACAATTACACCAAGACGGCTGTACATGCTCGTCTCAAATCAATTACAGAACCACCAGACAGTTTAAATCAGACTTGACCTTCGTCCATAACATTCACAAAGCTAACGCGGTAAAGAGATCAAACCAGCTCTACGTGGTTCGACTATGTCAGCCGTGTTAGTGTACATACTGCACGACAGGTTTATGACTGACACACACAGACGCACGACTGTGTCGGTGGTTATAAAGTTAGTGTACATGTTTGATAGTGCACGACACTTTTATGACTGACACACACACAGACGCACGACTATGTCAGTCGTGTTAGTGTACATGTTTGACAGTGCACGACACGTTTATGACTGACACACACAGACGCACGACTGTGTCGGTGGTTATAAAGTTAGTGTACATGTTTGATAGTGCACGACACGTCAGCCATAATAGTGAGTGACAAGCTCTCGGACCTACTGATTAATGCTGTACGACAAGCTGAGAGTTAACACGGATAATCCATTACCACTTGATAAGCAAGTGGATGAACGAGATTATCTCAAACTGTGATATGGACAGTGCTCTGAGAGTACTATATCAGCCGCACTAACCTAAGCACGTGAAATTATAAAATTATAACAGCCGCATTAACCTAAGCACGTGAATTTATAAAATTATAACAGCCATACTAACCTAAGCACGTGAATTTAAAACAGCCGCACTAACCTAAGCACGTGAATTTATAAAATTATAACAGCCGCACTAACCTAAGCACGTGAATTTATAAAATTATAACAGCCGCACTAACCTAAGCACGTGAATTTATAAAATTATAACAGCCGCACTAACCTAAGCACGTGAACTTATATAAACTACAAAGCAGTGTTCACAAATATCCCATTACTTTCACACTTCTATCATTACCGAACTCTACACAAACATTAGAAATCTATGAATCGAAACAACGACTATCAAGCTAGTATCCGCTGCCAGCTCCTAGCACACAGTAGCGAAGGATTCCACAGAGACTGGTGTCAGGATAAAACTAAGACTTCCCGCGTTCAGATATTGGCACCTAAAGAGACAGTCACATCGGGACGGACGGTGCTGCATTATCACCCGTGAATCAATAAGGGAGGGAAGTGTGGCTGGTGTTTTGTTCTCCCTCGGGACGTAAAGAGTTAATACAATTAGGAGTGATCTCTGGTGGTTAGTTGATGAGTGTGGCACATCTGTCATAACTTTTTATGGTACACCTAACTAGGGTTCAACTATAACACTTAATGGGGGGGGGGTTACGTGTGTACGTTTAAATTTCTTTTTCTGCACTAATGACTACCAGTCTAATTTACGTATCATACGGGAAAAATTTTTAAAAAAAAGACTCCATCATAACTTTGTTGACAATTTTAAATGGTGTATGTGGTCTTTTATATTTAAAAATAAAGAATTGTGTATTCTTTCAATACGGGCTCACTGCTAAAATAGTCTTAGATACCCTAACGTAGTTCGTGTTTGAATGCTAGCAATGTCGTCACATGCCGATAACGTAATCAGGGTATCTGCAAACAGGGGAGACAAACAAATAGCCCAGCCTAACTGCGGGGGATCGCATTCAATGATACATTCAGAAAAATATCACGATCAATATCACATGATTGAGTGGAGCTTTAATTGCCCACAGTTTTAGTCTGCTTAAATACACACAGAGAAAAAATATAGCAGGCTATGGTAGGAACAAATCAACACGACCGCTAAACTCAATTACTGATGTAATAAAAGACTATGGACTTTAAACCTACAAGAAATAAAATAGTTGACTAGAAAATTGGTAGTGTAGGCCTAAATCTGGACACTTGTTAGCTAAAACAAAAGTTCTGTTTCAGGTATCCTCATCTCCATGGGCGCAGCACTATTTGTTTAATTAGCACACACCACGTCATCTGATAACCGTTTACAGCCGGATTATCCGATGTGTACAAGCCAGGAATACAGACACAGTTTTAAACAAGCCTCTCAGCTGTCAGCATTATCAGCCGTAAAAATTCCACAAACTGCATTAGAGAACACCGAAAAAAATGTGGGATGTTCGGATGTACAAATTACCAAATCGTGCAATAATTACGACGGGTAAATTGTATTTGAACAGAGCACAAGCGACCTGAGAATATCCTCGACAGCTGTCCGTCTGTATGTGGCTTGGTGGATCACATCAAGCCCAAGATGTCACGATAACACGGCAACATATGAATAGCTGTACGGTCCGCAGTGAATCTAACCGGCACTAGCGCACAGCATGACGTCGGCGGTACAACAGGTAATCTACTACCTGTCGGAGGTTACTGTTAGGTAACCTCCAACGATAGGTGAGGAAACTTTCTATATACAGCTGATAAGTCGATTTG